TTGAGTTTGTGTTTTGGTGGATCAAAACTTGAGTTTGTATTTAAATAGTATTTTAATAAAAACTCAATGATGATGGAAAATTTTAATATGGTATAAGGGTGAGGTTTTATTCGTCTCTTCGTTGTGAACGCATAAAAAAAAGAATAATCTCAATCGAAATTAAAACGAAAAAGTTATAGCGTTTTTAAGAACTAAAAAAAAATATTGTTCACTAACTTGAGTTTGAGTCTAGAAACTTAAGTTGAAAGGAAAGCTTGAATTCAGATTTTAATCCCAAACTCAAGTTAAAACTCAAGTTCTAACTCAAATTTTACAAAAAAACATAAACTTGAATAAAGTTGTTACTTGAGTTTAAATTTTTTTTAAGTTTTAGTTCAAACGAACAAGTCTATAATAACTCGTGACCTAATAAGACCCATATCAGCGGAGAAAAAAAGGAAAAAACCCAATCTACCCTTCCTCTGAAACCCTCTGTCTTCTCCTCCATCCCATCCATGGCACCAAGATGCGCTTCCCCTCTTGACGTACCCCCGGCCATTTCTTCTTCCGACGAAGAGGAGGAAACTTCATCGGAAGAAGAAGAAACCTCTGAAGATTAGCAGGTTCAAGCAACCCCCAAACCAACGGTTTTATCGCCCAACACCAAGAAGACAGATGATGATTCCGAGTCCGACGACGAGTCGAGTTCCGAGTCAGAATCTGAGTCCGAGCCCGCCGGCTCGACCGTCAAGCCCATAGCGTCGAAGCCGATGGAGGAGAAGAAAGGGGCCAGATCCAAACCCTTTGTCGCCGCCACGCCAGAGAAAAAGTCGGTGATGAAGAGGCCGAGGGTGTATGAGACCACTGCAAAGGACTCGACGAAGCGGGTGAAGAATAAGAGCAGCCCTGAAGTGCCTCCTCCTGAGGCGGATGGCGACGGCGAAGCAGCGTATGATGAGGAGCAGGAGGAGTCAAAGAAGTCCGGTGGAGACGACTCGAAGAAGCTGTGCTCAGGACACGTACCATTACCCTTTTTGGTCACTATGGAAAATAAAAGAGAAAACAAAATGTATATTTAATTTGATACGGTAAAGACATTGACGCAACGAAATGAAAGAAAATGGGATTTTACCGACATAATTGAGACGGAAGGTTTTTAAATCCGCCTAAGAGAACTCCATAAGTGGAAAATCTCCAAATTTAAGAGAAAAGGCTCAAGTTTTATATTCAATATTAATTATCAAGTCTAACTATTACCATAACTAAAGTGATTATTTATAGTTCACTTATAAAAACAATAATAAAGCACTACTAAAATAAAACGATAAACTAGTAACAAAGTAAAGTTAAATTATTAAACTAGAACAAACGATAATGAAAAATATAAAAACGACTTCTACTGAGTAAATCTCCCTACACCAGACATATAATCACGTATGAGTTTTATTATTTTTTTTATTTTTTACAGTATTTCTTTAGGCTTGGGCTTTATCCGAGCATTCTAATCTACTTGATTTTTGTGCTGAAAATTCTAGTCTAGTTGACACACACTTAAAAGTTGTTTGGTTAGGAGATTCGTACCCGATTCGAATTATGATTCATAATTTACTATAATATTTTCTCTTATAAAAAATACACGTAAATTAAAAATAATTCTAATCTTATGATTCTAATTCATGAACCAAATATCTCTTTACTATGAGCTTAATGGGAATTGATCCATTACTCGAATGCGTGGGGCTTGAAAGAGATGGATTGTGGATCAGAAGACCTAAAGAATACCTGACAGAGTCGTTTCTTTTGTAATTGGTTGCCTAATATCGGGCATTAACTACGGTTCCCTCCAAAAGTTTATACAAAATTTGGATTTATCTGCGCATCTCAAATGAAAAAGTATTTCTGCATTAATTTATTGAGTTGCAACTCCAAGTACTGTGCTTACCTGATTATAAGTATTGGCGTATGTATCAGTATATATGTATATGAGGAGTGCTCTAGCTCCTTTCACTCCACATAGTGCATACCTTTTTCGCTGCAAGTGATCCTTTGGTTGTCTAAACTAATAAGAGGGTTTGAAATCAATTGTAATAAATAGAATGTCTTGTACCCTATGAAAGGGGGAAAAAATAATGTGTAAATAGGTTGTATAGCACCTTGAAGTCTGATTATTTATCTTTACCATTTTGATATGAAAATTAAGCTTAAGTTTTCTACAAAACGTGATATATATGTTTGAAGAAGTCAAACTCTGTGAAAGTAGCGGCCGAGAGACAGTTTCGAGGAGGAGAAGCTGGCATTTTAGAGTATGTTTGGTAGGAAAGAAAAGTAGAAGGAAGGAAGGAAGAAGGTGGAGGGATTTTGGGAGGGAAAATGAAAATATAGGTTGTTTGGTAGGAGAGAAAAGAGAAAGGAAGAGAAAATTGAGTGAAAAATAATACATGTGGGCCCCATCATTTTTTTTTTCTTTTCGCAAGTGGGCAGAAAATTGGATAGAAAATAGGGACAACTCATTAAAGTGAGCAAAGTTACCAAACTACCATTTTCTCCATCAACATCCAAGCAAAAATTTAAGGATATAAAAGTAATTTACAAGTAAGATCTTTTCTTTCCTCCTAATTTAACTTTTAATATCAAACAAGTGAAAATAAACTCATTTTCTTTCCATCTTCTCATACCAAACAACATAAAAATAAATAAATTTCCTTTCCATCATTGTTATTTTTCATCACTTCCATATTCCCTTTCTATCTTATTTTCTTTCCTTCCTACCAAACATAGCATTAAAAATTTTTTTTTTGTTTTTTTTGTATAGTTTTGTGTAAAAATATATTAAAAATTTCTTCTATCTTCCAAAATGTATTCCATTAAGTTTTATTTCCCTCTTTCTCATTCTCCCACTTAATAAATTTTACAAGAAAATTACATCTTACTCTTAGAAGTGTATGGCTAGATTTTTACCTTGTGACTAATATAATATTTGATTAAAAAGTTATTAATCAAGAATAATAAATAAAAATGGATCAATACCATGCAATCTAAGGAGAAAATTGCCTCCTTTTCACTTCATTTACAGGCTAGAAAATTACAAATTCTATCTTTTTTATAATCTGACTAACTAAAAATATATCTTTTAAAAAACTCTACTTCTTAACTAATTTTTGTTTGAAAAATAAAAATATATGGACTAATATTTATGGGTAGAAATAAAAATGCCTTCATTTTTAAGAGGTATTTTTAAAAATTGCTGGCAAATTTTGGACCCAAATTTCACAGTTCACACACTCACCAGGCAGGCCTAGCTCCCAAGTCCCAAGCACGTAATGACTTTACGGAAGCGAACATGAAAGTAAAAAACAAAGGGAAAATAATAGAAAATATGCCAATATAAAAAGCTTAAGAAAGTATATAGATTAATTTTTAGTTATAGAAATGAATATGCCATAACTTGTCAAGTTATGGTTCATAACTAGATAAATTATGGACAAACTTGTTAAGTTATAGTTTATAACCAGATAAGTTATGAATAATTATGAATAATAACTTGTCAAGTGATAGTTCATAACCAGACAAGTTATGGACGAAAACAATAATTTAACCTATTTATTAACTTATGTAAATTATTAACTTATTAATTTTAATTCATCTTAAGTCTTGGTCTATTTCCTTCTTTCTTCCAAAACAAAGAAAAACAAGGCCCAGCCCATGTGAAGAAGATTCGGGACATAGAAAAGAGAACAGAGTCATGTAGCCGTTAGCAACGCACTAGCCGGTGATATCGTCCCCTCCATTCTGGTGACTGGTGAGGAGGAAATTTGGATTCTTCCTTTTTTTTTTTTTTCCTCAACGGTAAGGAACTTCCCCACCAAGCCAAAACCAATATGCACTTCACACACACGTAACCCATTATCAACATATTACCAAATAGGCAAATACCAAACGACTGCGACACTTTGCCTAAGCTTTGCTTTGTCTTCTCCAACCTCATCCGGCTAATTAAAGTTTGTTGAGTTCACTTTGAATAACCGAAACACTATCATCTAGTACCATTCTTATGATATTTCGCTGTCAATTATCAAACCAAAGTTCACGACGGGCCATTATTAGATCATGCAAAACCCTCAACTAATTTGGTGTTTTTATTACGGTAATGTGGTATTAAAGAGTGGACCAATTCGACCATTCCTTGTTATTTAAGGAAAGTTACGATTTTATTATGTTTTGGAAGAATATATAAATTATTTTTTTAACATTTTTTTTGTCTGCTACTAAAAGGACTAAACTACCCTTCAAGGATAACAATATATTATTATAATTTTTTGTTTTGTATATTTTGTTCTCCAAAGTTATTAAAGAAAATTATTGACATATTTATTTCTTATTATTTTTATTTTTTTGTTACTACAACTGATAACCAATAGATTATAGAAAAAGGGTTTTTATTCTAGTTTTTCAACATTGACACTAATTATCTCCTTATTTATCTAAGATGTCAATACTACCTTAACTTATAATTAGAGAAGATGAAATCAACGTGACTTATAATTTATCACAACTATTAACACTAATGCAAGCGGCCATTGCCCACAAGCAATGCGACACAAGTGCTCTCTCCAATCCATACACAAAAAAAGCACGCATGACGCATTGCGCAGCAAATTTGAATTGAATGCAAGGGCAAAATTGGCATTTATTTAGGACTCATTTAATTCGTTAATTTAAATTTTTAATTTAAATTAAGATGTAATTTTATGTAAAAAAAATTTATTATAATAAAAAAATTAAATATAATTATTTTTAAAATTTTTTTAATATAATAAAATTTAAATCGGTGAAATGAAGTAACTTAGCTGAGCATGGCTTTCAAAAACAAAAGCGGTAAACGTTCACCAACACGCACGCAAAGTAACCGGCTTTCACCGGTCACCTTACCCAATCCAAACTTTCCTGTTTTAAAGCCCCGTTAACCCGTTCGTTTTTTTTCGTCGTTTTGCGTTCTCTGCTCTCTCTCTCCCTCCCTCTCACTCACTACATTATACCTCCTCTGTTCTCTCCTCTCTCTGCACAACTGCCTTACGATTCTCCCGAACTAGCTTTTACCATTTTAGCCTCAAATTCTTCTCAAATTTTCGATACGAAGAACTCAGAAGCTCTGTACTCACAGCATCCGGAGAAAGCAACAGTGCTTTAGGGCAATGTCTGTGGCGACTAAGCTTCACTCACCGGTCTGCGAGCCGAGAGCGATTCTCGGCCCCGGAGGCAACAGAGTTAGGGTTTCGGAGTACCCAAAGCGAAAAGGCGAGGCCTTGAAGAAGCCGCAGGCTCAGAGGACGAGAAAGCCGACTGCGGTCTCCGAAGTGCCTCAATCGGTGGTTAGGAGCAATGGCTCGGTCGATAGTTCGTGCTCTTCTGACTCCTCTTCGAGCGGCTCCTTGGCCAAGACGGTGAGCTCGAAGAAGACGCCACCGACGGTGAAGCGTAAGGGATTGAAGCCTGTGAAGGTCGTTCCCGTCGGCGTTGAGGCCGTCGCTGCGTTGCCGAAGATTTTAGGTCCGCCTAAACGGTGCGATTGGATCACACCTAACTCTGGTAAGTTAGTTATGCTTTATTTTTTTTTATTTGCCTGAATATTCTGTTATTTTGTAATTATTGAGGAAGAGGAGGGGAAAAGTTGGAATTTTTAGATCTAAATTAATGGTTTCGTTGTTTGAAATTTACAGTAATGGAAGAACATTTCTTCACTGAGAAATTTCTCGATCTTGATTGGTAATTAGGATTTTCGTCGCTGGTATTCCCCAAAAATGAAAAAAAAAATACTAATGTCTAACCATAAAATTTGGTGGGAACTGTGTTGGTTGATTATTCTAATTATGGAGTATGATTTGATGTAGTAAAACACGTAAGTGCCTCATAAATGTGGATAAACAGGCAAGTTCGTACGCACACTGTCGGTGAAATACACTATTTTAAAGTGTGCGTTGGATTGTAGCTGAAATATATAAACTTTAACTGTTTAATGTCTTTTATTAGACGGCATGGTTACAACTCGACTAAGCATTTTTTTTTTTTTTAATAACAATGGTTATATCATATATGGGTATAGTTTTGTTAGGTCGAGTTTTGTGTGCTGAGCTCATTATTCATTAACTCCATTTAAACATGAGAATAAGTAGGGAACCTCATCTTAATTTTGCGAGAAATATATTTCAACAAGATGTCAAGATCTCATAAGCTATATAGCTACAATGTATAAGATCTCCAACAATTTAGATTGTGTCTGGGGAACTTGTGAGGTTGGACAGTCCATTAATGCCTTGGGTACAATAGTAAAACTTCTTGACACGCCCAGATTGCACAGAAGAATCTTTATTTTATGTATCTAAGTTTGTGATGTCATTGACTGTAGGGACTTGATGAAACTCTTATTATTTACATTACATGGATGGTAATTCTAATTTTACGTCCATAAACTTGAAAGAAGAACTTGTTGGACAGAGGATTTTGAATGATGAATTATTCATGAATCATGTGTGTCCAAAAACAGAGAATTTCATTTGTTTGGATAATTTGGAAAAAGTAATATGCCGGTAAACTCCTTATTCAATTAAAGTTGCTTATGTGGGTATTTGCAGAATGTTATTTCATGGGACTTTTCTTTTGACAGACTCCATTTATACTTCCTTCCATGATGAGGAATGGGGAGTTCCAATTCATGACGATAGAAAGTTATTTGAATTGCTAGTCTTTTCACAAGCTTTAGCCGAACTCACTTGGCCTGCAATTCTAAACAAGAGAGAAATTTTCAGGTACTACTGTCCCCATTTCCTCTGCTCACTAAAAACTTTAAGAAGGACATTTTTTGGCATGCGTTTGATGTTGGTTATTTGTTCCCATTTGGCAGGAAACTTTTTGAAAATTTTGATCCATCATCCATTGCACAGTTCAACGAGAAGAAGTTGCTGTCCCTAAAAGTAAACGGCAATCTATTGCTATCTGAACCAAAGCTTCGCGCAATCGTTGAGAACGCTAAGCAAATACTTAAGGTAATAGAGATCAAGTTACCACACACCTTCTGATTGCATTAGACAAACGCATTATGCTCATTACATAAGATTTTATTTCTTTTTAGCGGAATTTCCAAACCCAACCCAACATGCACCCTTCATAATGTGGGACTTACACCTTCAACTTTGCTTGCATTCATTATTGGAATTTCAACTTCAATTTTGATTGCATTCATTATTATTGACGGCAATCTAGAATAAAAAATCGAGTGCAGAAGAGGTGGAGTTGTTTTGGAAAGTTTCCTCTCATTCAGGAAACTGAGTTATCTCAGAATTAAATGTTTCCATGTGACTCATATTCCTATGCAGATTCAACAGGAGTTTGGTTCCTTCAGTAATTATTGCTGGTCCTTCGTGAACGACAAGCCCATCAAGAACGGATTTCGTTATGGACGTCAAGTACCAGTCAAGTCGCCAAAAGCAGATCTTATAAGCAAGGACATGATGCAGAGAGGCTTCCGTTGTGTGGGGCCAACCGTGATTTACTCATTTATGCAAGTAGCGGGCATTGTTAATGACCATCTCTTGTCCTGCTTCAGATACGAGGAGTGCAAGATAAATGTGGAGAAGGATTTAAAACCTAGAACTGAGGAATCGGCAATACTAACTGAAGCTCTGGAAAAGACAAGCTTATCTGATGACTGAATCGATAAAATTAGTTTCTTAGTACTAATCACACAAATCCACACGACTAAGAAATCATCAGGAGGTGAAACAGCGTAGGTTAGCGTTTATTACCTTTGATTTGACAGATTATGCTGCCCTTTAAAAAAAAACAAAACAAAACAAAATTCATAATGTATTGATTACAGTTTGTAGAGTGATGTAAGCAGCGTCAAACTTGCTATACTAGTCGTTTATTCCCTAATAAAAGTTTTATATCATGGAAAATCATGTGTGACTTGGGGTTTCTTTCCATTTTCGATCATATACACAAACACACAGAGACACAAAAACAAATGCATACATGATTACTTGTTGCTACAGTAGTAATTGTTGGTTGCTACGATTATGATTTATTATTCAGAATGATGTGGTTTTTGGGTAGTCAAAATGATGGTTTACATTGATGTCATGGAATGGAGCCTCGTGGGAATGTTGGTGCTTTTGTTTCGCTTATATAAAACGTCGAAGAATGATTTGAACAAACAGAAGGTACCTGCCCCATATGACAACAAAGTGGCTGGCTAAGCTTTTGTTACAACTCTCTTGTATTTAAAACCATATGACTTTATTAACCCCTAATTTAGTATTTACGCGTAATGCACGAACATGAACATGGGGTATGTCGGGCCTTGTCATTAAGAGGCCACCCACCATTGATGAGTCAGGGAGCAAGAATCATAATCCAACCAACAATAAGAGTTTGAAGTCATGAACTGGGAAGATAGGCCAAAATCAAACGATTTATATATATATATATATAAAAAGACGGGAGGGTAAAAAGAAAAGAAAAAAAAAACTCGGGCAATTGCAGCAATATCTACATGTAATGCTTGATCAACATTTCAAACTGAGATGAGGGAAGAAAAAATAGAAATAAATAATAAAAAAAAAAGAATTCACCATGGAATTCAATTACTTGAAAGAACCCAATCTGGTTTTAAGATATGCAGATTTCTGTTGAAGGGGATTGAGCCAGAGACTGGAAATGCGCTTCAACACTAAGCTGAAATAAGGCAACAAACCAGCAAACGGGAGTCCTTTTTCTGTTCTTTTATAACACACACTTTGCATTCCACCACCGGAGGCTTCAACTCCGGGCAGCTTTCCCGCTTCCCAGCGTGAGCTCCAAGTCATCCAATCCAACCTCATGGATCCTCTCTCCAACCCAGGGCTTCACCTGTCCACCCCCAAAGTCAAACTCCGCTCCTCTCCCTGCTTCAGGGACTGCATTGCTCGGCGAAATTGACTGCACGGCAGGCTTCACAAGATTGAAGGTTGGCGAGGTTGGCATCACGGAGGCAGAAGGCGCAAACTTTTGGAAGCTAACCCATTGGCCAGAATCAACAGTGGATGTATCAGATTCATCACATTCCGGTATAGGAGCTGCCGGGACATGAAGCTGGTGGCGGGTTGGGCTAGCCGGTGCAGAAACAGCATAAAAGGGGTAATTGAAAGAGGCCATGGATTCTTTAGCAATGGTCTCCCAGTTGGGAATTGGCTTGGGATTTCTTGAGGTTGGGGATGAGAGTGGTGGGGTTACAGGGGCACTATTTGAGATTCTGAGAGGTGGGAGAGATGATGGAATGGCACTCCTTAGATAGGGAATGAGATTAGTCGGGTTGTAGCCGCCGTCAAGACGAGACGGGCTAGGGAAGGAAGAAGAAGAAGGACTGACTTGGTAGGAAGGGATTGGACTTGGAAAGGATGAAGACAATGGACTCGGGTTTTGGGAAGTATAAGGGGTTATTCTTGTGGAAGTGCCCGCCACATCTATTGGGTGTGGCTCACATCCCTGTATGATTACATTTTTACATATCAATACCACATTCTTCGCAGAAAATATCCCATCAAAAAACATTTGACATACAGCAAAAATTGAACAAAACAACGTTATATAAACAGCAGTTCCACCATTTAATTCTCTCTCTTCTCTGGAGATCTCATATTCCCAGAATCAAAAAACAGATCTTGATGTACTAGTTTCTCTGTTCTTTCTTTGTTTCTATAATACCACGTCAAAGCGATAATAGTTAGTGCCAGAAATTCTCAATCCTCAACTGGGCCACAGATTTTCAAAGCAAGTGAAATCCCAACAATGAATAGTCCACCGAAAAACAGTGCAAAACAGGATCCAAACCCATTTCCTCCAAGAAAGATGCAACGAAACAGTAAAATTAACATAAAATGGAACGGCAAAAAACTCCGAAAGAACAGATCTACCATAATGAGAAAAAACGCACAAATTTAGCAGAAATGGGTCAAATGAAAAAAAAAAATATATATATATATATATATATGTATATGTATACCTTGCGATAAGTAGTACCGTCTTCTTCGACGGTCCAACCGGCTTGGGAGCAGAGAGCTTTCAAGACTTCATTATTGTCGCAGTGCTTGGGCAAGTTGAAGTTCCCCTGAGCTCTGAGACCCGAGTATATCTTCGCGGCGATCGCTCTTCTCCTTCTCTCTCTCCTCCTGTTGTTCTCTCTCTCCCTCCACGACGGCTTCCTCCGCGCCGTCGACGCTGACGTGGCCCCGTCCGACGTCATTTTCCGGCCACCTCTGCGGCCACGGTTCACCTTCTCTGCGCAACTTTTGGTCCGTCGCAGCTGATTTAAGCCCAAAAGAGCAGGGAAAAACTACAAAGAAAGAGAGAGAGAGAGAGAGAGGGAGAGTCGTGCTCACGAGGAATGCGCTTTCGCTTCTTCGCTCTATGTGTAGAAGAATCTCTCTCTCTCTCTCTCTCTCCTTCTGAGCGAAAAAAAGATAAAGCTAGTTTTTGGTAACGCTTTGGTACGGGCGAGTTCAGAAAGAACCAAAGATGAACAAAACTGGTTGTTGATCTGTGACCGCATACTAAGATCAGGACAGGAAGTTGATCTGATTAAGCTGTTACAAATTGATGCTGTGACCAGAGACTAGTCAACAGGTACGTAGAGAAGAAGAGAAAGGTTAGGCCGCGTGGAGGTTTTATACAAAACCGTTTTTCTTTCTGATGACCTAATAATTGTGGGGGTGGGTCCCACCCCAATCAGCTTCATAGTTTGATCCTCAGCCTCCAGTTCTAAAGAAGCCCACAGTGGGATTGTTTAGGGTTTAGGCCCGCCCCAACCCAAACGTGCCCTGCTTTGATTTTAGCTTCCAAATCATGTACACCGCAGAATGAGATTTACTGTGATTGTCTTTCAATTTTCAAACAGTCTCTAGTCTAGATACAGAGAACAACTGAAACAGAGAAATTAATTAGTATTTGTTTTGATTATCTTCATGTCCATTTCCATGTAGAGCTTTGTTGTGGGAAATGAGACATGGGGCAAAGAGTTAGACGTGTGTAAATTAACAGCTCACAAACAGCTTCCAATTGCATAAATATCTGATCCGCTTGAATAACACATATCGTGACTTTGACCATAGACAGGAACTAAGGGTTCGTTTGGTTAAAGCATTCAAACCATGTGATTTGAATTATTTTTTATTTATGTGTATTTTTTGTGAGAAAAAATACTGTAGCGAACCACGAATCATGATTCGAATCAGATAACGAATCCCTCTACCAAACACCTCCTAAGATTGTTTGATAGGAGAAACAATCGGAGAGAAAGTGGTTATGAGAAGGATTTCAACTTCAAGACCCGAGTTGATTGGTAAAAATATAAAGGGGAAGGAATGTATTAAATGAGAAATTTCAAATCTTTAAACCCCAATTGTGATTGATCTAATAGTAGTAAATCCATAACAAATACAATTAGAGCATTATCACTTTATTTTCATTTTCCTCGCCTAGGCTTTAAAAGAAGGTAATTTCTTTCCTCTTTTTTTTTTTTTTTTTTAATACAAGCCACCAAGAAAAGGCCACTATATACGCACTATTGAAGGGCGTTTAATCGTAATTTTTTCTTTTTCTTAAATGCGCAGAGAATTCGAACTTTAGCTCTCAACATTAAAGGAATGTTCTGATTAGCTTTGATTAGCCTTCTCGTTTTATCATCATATATAACCATAATTTTCTTGTGCGAGAAAGGCTACAAATTCTACGTCCCTAAAAGAGACGTCCATAACAAAGGGCCTTCGAATGGACGTGCTATCCTTCTTTGCGTTCATAGAAGTACCGCGATTCTTGGAACTGAAGGGGTTCGTTTCCCCAAGAAACCCACTGAGGCAACATTTCTCTAGCAAATAGTTCCAGACAGCGACTAGGACTATGCCCTGCAATATACTCCTTGAGCAGACCTGATAATATAAGAGAATGAGTGAATAAGTGGAGAGAACAAGAAGAAATAAAAAGGGAATAGTAAAAGTTAATACATTTAAAACCCTATACTGTGATTTTAATATGAAAATTACTTTAGTAAACTGTAACCAAACTATATATATATATATTTAAGAGTCCCAGACCAAGAGATTAATAAGATGAATCGTGAATAAACGACAACGGAAGCTAGGCACATCCTCATTAAGCGTTTAGAGAAAATTGCAGAATTTATCTTTAAGAGTGCATGAGTCTGGACTTTTACTCCTTACTCTTGATAAATACCATTTTGTTAGTGTAATTATTTGACTAAAAAAGTTATGAATCAAGAGCCCTGCGCTGTTAAGAGGTATTTGTCAATATTACCCTCGAGTTTAACATTGATATTACGGCCCAAAAGGATTACCTCCGATTGGGGGCTTCCTTGAGTAATCCCCTGGGATGCTAATGATAACTTGATTATCTGGTGCAGCTTTGATTCTTGACATGCTATTGGAATCCACGGCCTACAAAACAGAACTCGTTAAAAAAATAAATAAATAATAAAATAAATAAAAATAAAAAAATTTGCAAGCTCACCTCCCCATGACATTGTCCTAAAATAATGCATTCATATGGCCTATGATGAAAAAGGTCCAAATCATTTATCAACGAACCATCTGCTTTCACCTGCAACACTCAAGTAGACCAGGACCTAAGAACAACATACCAGAAAAACCGAGTCACACTACATACGGATAGAAAAAGAAATCACCTTCAGCCAGTAAAAAGTGGCCATATATTTGACTCCCCATGCAGGAAATAGCTCTTCCTCAACAAAGCAGCGCAATTTCTCCCTATTGGTAACCCATAAGGCTATAATAGCTCCTTCCTTGTGACTAAGTTTCTTGATAGGAACGGAAAGAAAATACTTGTTCGGCAAAGTTGGGTACCTATAAGGCTATTTTAATAATCAGGAATTCACAATAACACAAATTGTTATGAAGAGCTTAGAAAGTGCAGAGGAATACCTCAACTTCTGGTGGGCACTTCCATTCTCCCATGGTGGATCGATCACAATGAGACTGAATCCATGATCATTGTCAACTGCATGTGGGGTGGGGGGGAAGAATCTATAAGTAGAAGTGCAAGAAATTCTTCATCAACAAATACCAAAAAATATTTTAAAAAGGGAAATTGATGAATAAGTGCAGCAAATCTGGAGAGGAACTAAAGGTACAGAACACAAACTTATTTCTTAAATGCGTTCATAGGCTGTTTGCACAATCAAGATAGACTCCAAAAATATATTTTAAGACCATATGCAGTAATTACCAGGAATTAGGTTGTGAATCTGCTTCAGATCAGACTTCCACATGATAGAATGCAAAACGTTAAAAGAAAAAAAAAAATGTAAGACACACTTGAAATGAATTTAAGCATTTGAACATACAGAATGGCCTTGGTCTTTAAGGGTAAACATAATAAGCAGTTTTTACGACATCAACATCAGAGCTCGGCTTTGTCATAAACTAAATTAAAATATACACATACATATAACGTGACAAAACTGACATACCATGTAGAAGGAGCTGTCGTGAGGTAATATATATCGAGTGTTCATAAACTCAGCCTCTAAATCATCACTGGTCTCGTTAACAATTAAGTTATTAAACACAGGAAGAACCCGTTCACAATATTGCGTGGGAGGAGAACCTGAAAAAAGCAATATCACAGCACGAGTTGTTAGTTTATAGGGCAACTAATTTACTATCCAAACAAGGTCCTAAAATGTCCAATTACTGAACAAAAACCCAGAAAAGTGAGCATGATTTAACCTCTAGTCAGAAATCATTAACATTTTTCAAAGTCGTTAACAAAAACCCACAAATGCCCTAACTAAGATCTGAACAATGAAAATTTCCATAAATTGGAAAAGCAAAATCCAACCTCCACCTTCATTTCGCTCGCCACTGGGATGAAATTTAAGTGTAATTTCGTACAAAGGAGCTTGCCAGACCCGTCCGAGTTCAATTAAAGACTGTTGAACTCTAGACGATGATGATGACGGTGAAGAATCTGACAAATCTCTCAAATTGCAAATGACCTCCAAAAGATCAGTCGCTCTCTGCAAAGACTCGAGCGCCTTCAACAGCAAAGGCTCCGATTCCTGCGAACCAAAAGCAAACATCATTGGCAGCTCGTCACCTCAAAATCGCCATTAACAAAACTGAGAATAGTTTAGGCAGTGTATTTACCTGGTGACGCCGATCGGCGGCTCGCTCTCTTTCGTTGAGAGCGTAAGGTTTCTTCTCCTTCTCCTTCCGCTTTCTCTTTCTCGAATTCGAAGATTGTTGCGTTGCGTTGCTGGATTCGAAGAAGCGTGAGTAGTACGCCGAAGGGGAAACCCTGAATCGAGTGTATGATTGGTTGAGGACACGAACGGGATCGATGAAAATGGAATTGGAATTTTCGAATCGGTAAATGCCAGATTCCAAGAATGCAAAGAGCTTCTCGCTCAATTTCGAGACCTCCATTAACGTCGAAGAAAAGTCCCGCTAGGACTCTGGACTTGTCAGTCAACAACAAATATAGGGAAGGCCCAAATCAACAGTGTGGTCAAAGGCAAATTTTGGGCCCGGCTAATGTTTTTAAAATAGTTTTATTTCCGGTATAAAAATAAAAATAAGATTATTTTAAAAATTATCTGAAACTTATTTTATATTAAGGAGACATTTGGTTCATGAATTAAAATCATGTGATTAAAATTATTTCTGATTTACATGTATTTTTTGTGAGAAAAAATATTGTAGCGATCCATGAACCATGATTTAAATCTTAGTTTGAATCCTCCAACCAAACATCCCCTAAATTTGATAGTCTTTTAAGAGATTAATTTGAATACAATAAAAAAATAAAATCATATTTGGTTATATTAAATACGTTTGTTTTGAGTACATATAATTAATAATATTAAATTAATATAATAAGTAATTAATAATTAATAATTATTTTAAAAAATTAATATAATAATAGATAAATTATCATTAATGATTACATTAATGATTAAACTATATATAACAAATTAATATATTAAATAATTAGTAATTAATTATAAGTAATTACTATGTTAGTAATGTATTCATATTTATTAGATTATAAGTGATTAATTAGTGTATTAAGAAAAATAATTAGCATATACCTAATTTATTAATATTCTACTTACTACTTAAATAATTAACTTTTAGTTACATAATTAATTACTAATGTTTATTTAATAATTTATTATTTGATATATCACATGATTAATTTTTTATAATTATTATTTTTGTAATGATTAATGACTATTTATTATTTATTATTTATTAGTATATTACATATTGATAATTATAATTTAATATTAATTATTAATTGAATAATTATTATTTCTTTTTTATTTACCAATTATTTACTAATTAATAGATTATAATTAACATAATATATAATTGATTATTAATCATTTATTTAATAACCTATTATTTTTATTTTATTGTTAATATGTTATATAATTAATTTTTGACAATTAATCTTTAACTAAATAATTAATTACTATATTATTTATTATTTTATTAATAAAATTAAAAACTTAATAGTAATAAATTAATATATGATTAATAATTAAGTAATTGCTATCTATTTATTAGTTATTAAGTATATCTATTTATTAATTATTAATTAATATATAATATAATTAGTAATTAATAATTAATTATTTAATATCGTATTTACTAGTAAAGATCATATTTATCCGAAAATCAGACCATTGACTCCGGTGGCCATTTATCACTATATTTTTCAGTAAATACTGTATTTTCTAATAAATATTATATTTATCTGAAAATTCAGGCACCGACTTCGACGACCGTTTGACATTGTATTTACTCGTAAATATCGTCTTCACCAATAAATACCATAATTACTTGTAAATATCATATTCTGAAAATTTAGGCGCCGACTCCGACACCCGTTTAACATTGTATTTACTATTAAATATTATATTTATCAGTAAATACTGTAATTACTAGTAAATATCATATTTATCCAAAAAATTTAAGCACTAACTCCGACAACCGTCTAACACTGTATTTACCGGTAAATACCGTATTTACTAGTAAATATCATACTTACTCAAAAATTTGGCGGTTGACTCCAGCAATCGTTTAACATTATATTTACCGGTAAATATTGTATTTACCAATTAATATCGTATTTACTAGCATATATCATATTTATCCAAAAATTCAAACACCGATTCCAACGATCGTTTAATATTGTATTTACCAATAAATACCATATTTACCATGTTTGTCTGAAAATCTGACTACCGGCTCCGGAGACTGGTAAATAAAATATTTATCATATTTATCTATGGCTATACATAAACCCAACCCACCCCAACCCAACCCAACCCGAAAAAGGTAACTTATAGCATTATTTTTTATTTTTCGGCCCACTAAATGTCTGGCCATAGGTGTTTGGGGCGGTTTGTGGGTTGGGCCTATAATAACTCGCATACCCCAACCTAACCCGCACAAACATGCCTGATAAGGAGCCTATGAGTGTGGACTGATAAGTGCGGTTGCTGTTGCAGTACTTGCTTTAGATGGATTTGAATTAAGCCACTAATTTATGTTTGCTTTATGTTTGATGTTGGATGGACTACTTTGCTTCATGTTTGATTTTGGATTGAACTTTGAATTGCTATCTATTTGATGATAGACTAATCAATATTATTTCTATTTGATGATGAACTTTGAATGTTGGAGTTATGTTTGATTATTAGTATTATTTATATTTGATGATCAATATTATTTCTATTTGATGATCAGTATTATTTCTATTTGATATGAACTTTGAATGTTGGAGTTATGTTTGATTATTAGTATTATTTCTATTTGATGATAAGTATTATTTGATGATGGACTTTGAATGTTGGAGTTATTATTTTTATTTGATGATGAACTTTGAATGTTGAATTGAACTTTGATTCTTTGAATGATGAACCCGACCACCCAACCCACCCCGACCCGCCCCAACTTAACCCAAACATCATTGGCTGTTAAATTTTTCTAATATCGTTGGGGCTAAATATGTGCAACCCGCACCCTTTGGGGTGGGGCAAGAAAAAGCTCTACCATACATCAACCCAACCCATGTAGAGCCCTATATTTATCTGAAAATCTGGCGATCGACTTCGGCGATCAGCTCCGGCGATTGGTAAATACCGTATCTACTGGCAAATATCATATTTACCATATTTATCTGAAAATCTGGAGACCAGCTTTGGCGATCGGTAAATACCATATTTACCTGTCAATATCGTATTTACTAATAAATATAATATTTATCTGAAAATCAAGTGATCGGCTCCGGCAACCGATAAATACATCGTATTTATTAAAAAAATTTATTTTTTGGGTGTTAATTTAATATAAAAAATATAAAACTAAAAAAATGACAAATAAATAATTTCTTTACAAAAACTTCTTCCAAAATTATTTTAAATACAAAATCAACCCCAAAATAAAACCTAAATTAAAAACCTAACCCTAAAATCGGCCCTAAATCCTTTCTTCCCATCAACCTGAATCTTCGAACCTTCCGCCCACGGAGCCAGCCACACCTCGCAGCTAGCCAATATTTTCTTCTGTTATTTACTAAATTCTCATGTTGTTTTATAAGTATTTTGTTTAACCTAGTGATACTAAAACATAGCAAAAACATTTAGAATGCTTTACAAATATTGTGAATAAAAATTCTTTGCAAATTTCTGTTAGTTGTTTTTGCTCTCCTTGAGGAGGAGAATTATGTTTTTATTGTACAAACTTTGCCTTGTTTAGTTTCTTGGTTTGGATTTTGTTGATTTGTACTTTTTTATTTGAACAAAAAAAATTTGAACTTTATGGTTAAAATTATAATTTGAATTGGCGTTTGGATGCGTAGTTAAATTTTTAATGTAACTGTAAATAAAATTTAAATTTGTTGCTAAGTGTAAAAAGAAGAGATAGTGAGTATCTTTTTACTATTTAAAAATGATTTGAACAGTTGTATTTGAGGGGGAGTTAAACTCTAAGTTTGACAGTTTAACTCAGTTCAAAAAGAAATATAATTCGAATTGTGTGCTTACCAAACATGAGCTATTCAAATTGTGCTCACCATTCGAATTGAGATGAACTAAGCTAAACTAGTGAAACAAACGAGAAATTTGTCTTTTTTCTTATCTTTTTTCCTTTCTTTTTTGATGAAAAATTCACACGAAGCATTTTAATACCAAAACGTTTTCTATTCGACAAAAAATAACAAATCATAACCTAGAAATAAAAACAAAGAGAATAGATCCAATAACAATATCAATACTATACTATACCACGAATCACATCACAAATATGGAAAAAGAAAACTCAGATATAAAGAGCATAAGAAATTAAATCAATTCCATCAAGCAATAATCTGATTTTATCAATGCAAAACTTCTTTCCTGACAAATAAAAGAAATATTTTAAAAGATATTTTAAAAATGAAAAATTATACTGCATATATTTGGGTGGTTTGGTTTGGACTATTTGATCTATAGAGTCCAAACCACCAACCCAAATGTCCATCAAAATTTAATTTAAAACCCACTAAAACCACCCAATAATTTAAAAATAATAAATGATTTGATTTGAATTAGGCAATTTGAGAGATTGTTTGAACAATGTAGAAGAACAAATGTGTAATGTGCATATACTAGTCTAATATTTTTCCTACCACCATAACAATTTTCACGTGTTTTACGGTTTAAGTATACTGATTGCGAGTATGTATTTTAACAAGATCCAACAATGACAACTATAGGATTTAGCTTAACTTCAGATTCACTGTTTGGATATCATTTAAAATGATTTAAAAAAGCATTTGTGAACTAAAAGGTTAAAGTGATTGAGGGATCAGCCAATATTGAATATTGGGCTTATTTTCTTGCATAGTTTCACATATTATGAAGCGTATGTCGAAAGTAAAAGGTTGCAACATAGTACATCTAGAAGTAAAAAAAAAATGTCATTATGCTCATATAACCAAATTATCTATCTACAAAGGGAGCAATATACTAGGATGACTTTCCAACAAAGTGAAATTAACAAAATAACTTTATTTTATTTTTTATGAATAAAGATATTTACTCCTTCTTTATAAAATGAGATCATTTTACAAATAAAAATTTTTAAGAAATTATTTTACTAATAAAACTTTTTAAAAGAGTTATTTTTACAAGCCTCCTACAAAGGAGACCTTTATGGCTGCCTCTCATGATCACATATCCTCGGCCTTCGCATTGCTCCATAGCCTGTAAATTTCACAAACCGTGTAACTTGGAACGGTATTTATACACTATTACTTGTTATATATTCTGTCCATACCGACATTCCTTACGAAAGAAGTTGACTAAATCAAATTCCTTACATAAGCACGCTACGTCAGTGTCCGGGGAAAAAAGACAAAGGGCGTGCAATTGAGAGCATATTTGGTATAAGTGTTATAGAATTTGGAATCATGATTTTGGTTTAAATTAGTGTTTATTTATAAAAAATAAAAAATAGTTATAATTTGACTCATTTAAAATTAGGGGACGTTTATTTTCTATATTCATTCTTGATTCTGAATTATGATTCATAATTCTCTACAGTGTTTTCTCTCACAAAAAATACACGTAAAACGAGAATAATTCTGAATCATGATTCTGAATACATAAACTAAATGTCCTCTTAGTGTTTAATTTAGATGATTCTGATTTAAGGTTTGAACTTTAATGTGATGTTTTAAACTGGAATCACTCCTGATTTTAAAACTACTTCTTCCTTAATTTTTCAAAAACTATAATTTAGACCCAAAATCATGAATAATAATTTTGATTCTAAAATTAAAACTATAATCAATTTGGTTTGAACCATCGTACTAAATGAAGTCTGGGATGTTTGTTTCTTATATTCGTCTATGATTTTGAATCATAATTTATGATTTTTTACAATATTTTTCTCTTATAAAAAATACACATAAAATAAAAATAATTTTAAATCATAATTTTAAATTAAAATTCTGTATCCATAAATTAAACGTCTAACTGTTTAACCATTTTTTCAGAAGCGCTACAGCGATCGGATTTGGAATTAGAGATAATGAGAAAAACCACTAACTCCCGCTGATGTGAGAGGATTTCATGTTTTGTTTGCCTTGCGGTTTTTTGTACAATTATTAACTGGAACCAAAGTTTGATACGGCTAAGAAAATATTAATGAGTGACCCCAAGACACGGGCAACTATTGTCCTTCCTGTCAACTACTACCAAATTCCGCAACAAATGTCACTGTTATTTTATTTAAACTCTGTGCAAAATTCAATCTTTGACCGCTATTTAAATAAATTAAACAATGCACAAAATAGATCGCGTTAGACAATATATTCTATGAAATTATGATATATATATATTCCCTTCCTGAATGGTATTTTACCCTTTCTTTTTTAATGAAAAGTAACTTCCCTCAACGAGTAAAGCGGCAGAGTTCTCAAAGTTTATTAAGCGCCATTTATTTCCGGCTTTTATTTTGTTTTTTTGAAAGAGTTAAATTCATAAATAGTCATTGATTTTTTTTCTTTTTATAATTAGTGTTTGTAATCAATTTTTTTAATAAATAGTCTCTAAACTTTAAAAGTGTTTCATATATGGTCTTTTTATTAAATTTTAAACAAAAATCTTTAACTTTGTCTCATAAAAAGTCTCTAAACTATTTTCTCTCTTTAAAAATAATTTCTATGTTAAAAGAGAAACAATAACTATAATAGAAATTAAAATTACAAAATCTTTCTCAAAGCTTCAAAATCCACTAACCCAAAAAAAAAAAATTATTTTTCCCTAAGATCTAAAAAAAAAATATGAAATAAAAAACCAAGATTTTTCAAATCCCCTCCCCCTCAAGTTTTTTTCTTTTTTTTTTCAAATCTGCCAACCCTAGCCCTGTGCTCGTCGGTCCCTCCTCCTGCCATCTACTCGTCACCTCCGTTGCTTCCCTTTCCGACCCTTGTCACACACACGTGACCCATCGTCGCCGCTTCTTTCCTCTCCAGCCTCATTCGAATCCGACGAGGCTTTTAGATTTGAACTCAAGAGGGAATGACACTTTTTGGCTTCATTGACGGTAGTTCGACCTGTGCTCAAGGTTTGGACACTTACTGCAGATCTAGGCTTGCCTTTGTTGCTCTTTGAATATTTTATGTTTTTGCACTAAGGAAAAATTTTTGTGTTGTTGAACTTTTATATTTAATTTCTTTAGATTAATATTTTTAGTGGAGAAGATGACGACATGTGTTGTTGTTCTTTAGAGATTTTCATTTTTTTATTTTTTATTTGACTTTTTTAGTTTTTTTAGTTTTTTTTTTGATTTTATAATTTTTAAGATAATATATATTTTTAAAATTTAGGGATTAAATTTAGTAGAGATAATATAGTTTAATGACCTTTTGTAAGATAAAGTTAATGATTTTCATTTAAAATTTAATATAAAGACTATTTGTGAGACACTTTTAGAGTTCAGAAACTGTTCATAAAAAAAATAATTACATAAATTAATTGTTGAGAGAAAAAAAAGTTCAAAAATTATATGTGAATTTAACTCTTTTTGAAATGATCAATTACGCTATTAAACTGGGGACGAATTGTCTCAAAAAGTATTTTCCCAAGGCTTTTTCTTTCTTAAATTTTATGTCGAATAATTGGAGATAAATTTATGAGTTATTTAGTTGTTAGATTTATGTCATGATTCGATCATGATTCATAATTAATTATAATATTTTTTTTTATAAAAAATATATATATTAAAAATGATTATGAATCATGATACGTTGGTGAATAAAAATATCGACTAATTCTAAGAAAAAAGGTCTTGTGTAATTAATTTTTAATTATTGGGAGTCGTTCAACTTCAAAGGTTTTTGAAAATGAAAATCGCCAAGAGAAAAGAGAGAAGCTTCGAAGAAGACGCAGGAGGTGTGGGGTCCACCGAGTTACGAGAATGAACCAATGAAAAAGTGTCACGTTCCAGAAACCATAGAAACAAAAATTAGGGAAAAGAGAGAGAAAGAGTTAACTGTGTGCGGAGTAACCATGGTTAAACTGACCCTGCAGGGAGTCTCTCTCTCTCTCTCTCTCTCTCTCTCTGTGTTCGCTCTTCGCATACTATAAATACGCGTCTCACACTCTCTTGCGAAGTTGGGGGCGGAGCTTAAAGAATCGGAGGATCCGCTCTCTCTCTCTCTCTCTCTCTCTCTCTCTCTCAAGGTTGGGTTGATATGATTCGCGGATGATCTTTCTATGATTTTCTTACTAATTTTGCATTCCGTTTGAATTTTTTACATTTTGATTGTCTGAAAGTTTCATTGCCTATATTGATTGTCTCTTTGTGGTTTTTCTTTCCAATCTGTTTTTTTTATTCTTTCAAGTATGTAACAGTGGTTCAATTTGTTAAATTATGTTTGGATGATGAGAAAATGGAAAATTAGGAGAAACAAGAATTCTGTTTTTTTTTTTTTTTTTTTTTTTTTTTTTTTTTTTTTTTTTAAATGTAAAGCTGATGAAGATTAGGTCAATGAGGAAAGTCGTCTTGGTCTTCCCGTGTCCAGAGAGTTGAATGATTTTCGGGACTCTCACATGGAATTATCTGTTTCTCTAATTGAAGTACTTTGTTGGATAATGAATTTTGATCAGGCTAAACTGATTGAATTATGCTAATAATCGCTTGAAGCGAATTTTGATCGTGTTGTGAAGATTGATCAGCTTCTAATTCTTGCACAAGTATTTTGTTACTCTAGATTGTCTATCTCTATGAGTATGATGCTTATCTCCTGTGCTTTTAGGTCTTGTAGGATGCAATTATTCATTTAATTATCCCTTTATTTTTTTTAATGTCTATGAATTACAGTAGTTTCTTATCTCGATGCCTGTGTGTTCTGAAATCTTATCTTGCTGTTTTTTTTTTTTTTTTTTGTGGGTTAGGTTGAAGTAGAAGGGACTTATAAATTTTTCCATTGCTCATTGGTATAAGGATTTTTAGGTTTGATCTGTCAAAAAGGTCTGGCATCGTTTGATGTAGCAATTCAATTCATCTTTCAGTTGATTTTTTTTATCACCGTAGATCATGGTCTTACATGAATCTGGTTTGAGTGAGTTTAATTAAAGATTTAAATTAAAGCATTGATGCTATTTTGATTATATTAGCCGGGCATGTCTAATATCTGTTTGCATGTGAGATTAGCAGACTGCTAATCAGAATCATGAGAGATCTATCAATAACTGGATGTTACAGTTAAACATAACAGGATTATCTTATTTTGATATATTCACTAATATCTGTTCTTGCTGTTTCTGTATGCATAAGTGGAATTAAAATTCCATTTCATAGTCTTGTGATTTTTTTTTTTACCTGTGCAATCTCTAAATAGTTGACTACCGGTACTAATTACTTGACTAAAACAATTTTTTGTTTTTTTATTTTCCGTTCTTGTATTTGCCAGCTTGACAAAAATTTTTTCTGCAATATTACAGAAATCGACTTTGGTCATAGTTTTGTCTTGCTACCATTTAAGTCAGTTAGCCATGTGTCCTCCAGCCGCTTCTCCAGCCAGCGATATTGATCTTTATTGTAGTGATAAGGATATAGTTACATCTTTGGATGGAATCATAAGTGGATCTCCACTTCCAAGCAATGTAATTTCAGATGTGAACCCTTACCAATATAAGCCTTCAGCTTTACCCGGTATGTGCCTTTTTTGTGTTTTGTTTTGTTTGTTTTTCTTTTTTTTTTTTGGTCATGAAACCCGGTATGTGTTAGAATTCAGCTTGGTTTTATCATGATGGAGTGAGGTTTCCTGTTACATGCAGTTGGCATTTGGTTTTTCATCAGTTCCAAGATGAGAAAGGATGCAGACTTTGGATACTGGAGGACCAAAGGGGAAGCTTGTCGGATATTCTCAAATTCGTCAATTACCGGTTGGAGAAGTACTCTTGAATTCTATGAAGGTCAAGCTCCTCACTGGCATAAAACAGATTGGGTTATGCAAGAGTATTGGATAACTCGGAAAATCTTGTCAAAAGACTTCAATGAAAAGGTATTAGCAACCTATTTGTTCATGTAGCTGATTTTGTCATTTTCTTGTTCTTTTATGCCCAACCTGCCAGTCAACTTCCGGTTTGGGTGGATAATGTGCAGGAAAACAGCTTACTTTGCAATGTCTTCTTTGTTGGTGAACAAAACCCAAACCCTGAGAAGACTTGGAAGATGGCAGAAGTTGACACAGCTAGCCAATCAACACCAGTAGTTGTTCAGAAGACTGAAAATCATACAGGGCAAGGTTCCACTAGCAAGCGTCAGATAAATGAAGGAGATGGTCTTCCGTTTATAGCTGTGAGTCAAACTGCGGCATTGTACTTTTATGTAAATATTAGTATGTTATTTGATTCCTTGTGGTACAGTAGCTAATTTGGAGTAAAGACTGGGCTGTTCTTCTTCTTATTTTTTTTATTTTTTATTTTTTGTTTGTTTTAATTACCGTCCTTATTGGAATAAGCATGTATTAGTTTTTTGTTACTTCATCTTCACATGTTAGTATTTACAGTTTCTTCGAGTTTCTGAAATACAGGACACTACATTAGCACATACAATACGTATTTAATTCTTAATGCATGTAGTTTTTAGTCCAAGTTGATTGTTATAAATAACTGGATAAATTTTGAATTTTCCTGGGTCATTTATGTTTTAGTTGGAACGTGGAACACTCAGAGTTCCATGATTTTGCACTAGATAGGATGTCACACATGATGTAGTTATTTTCTTGACGGAAGGTAATAGAGAATTTTTGCATGATAACACCATAACAAACCAGAAGGCACCCTATTTATTAGTTTGTTAAGTGTTCCTTGCAACTGTTGGTGTAGCAAAATATTTGCTAGAACGATCTCTCTCTACCCTAGGTTTCTTTATATGTTGATGATTGGATACCTTTTCTAGGTGTGTGAGGATAATGATACTGAAATAGTAAGAACCAGAGAAAGAGTTTCTCATAATCTTGTGGACATTGAACACGAGACGGACTATCTTCCGGGAGGTGACTTCCTAGAGTTGCTGGACCTGGAGAATCCAGCATCTCCTTCTTCTAGCTCCGATTCAAGTTGCTTGACTATGTCCTCAGACGAATGTTTCGATGCGCTGGATTTGTTGCGAGACCTAGAGTCTGAAAAAAGCCACGCTCAGATGCAAAATAATCCTGATTGCAAGTTAAGTGTCTTTGCATCTTCCATGCCAACTGAGATGGTCATGTATCCGGCATCTACAGGTAACATAGACAGATTTTCCTATTCCTTGCATATATATTCCATGTTCTCTTTAAATATGAAGCATTCTTTATATGGTTTCCTTTAATTATGTGACCATCATGTTAGTTTTAAGCTCATGTAAATCAGAAGTGCTTTGTTTTTGTTTTCTATGATGGGAGGAGAGATTACATGCTGCAATTTCTATGTGCTCGGTAAATTCACACTATTGTGTCCCCTAAACTTTTATATGTCTTGTGTTGGTTAAAGGAACTCTTGATAAGCCGCCAAATGAAGAATTTCTCAGAAGTAATAGATCGATACCCGGTTCAGCAAGCAGTATTAAAATCACAGATAAGAAGGTTCTTATGAATCCAGATGGAAAACAGAAACCTGATTTCAGAAATGAAGGCGCACCATCAACTTCTCGAAGTGGAGTTGTGTCGCTCAGTGGCGACATGGCAGCACCAGAAGAAGATAGGAAAGCAGCTCGTGGCAGAATGAAAAAGCTCAAGAAGAAGTATCTCTGCTTCATGCCATTTTAGGTTTCTTTTAATTTTAACACTTATAGTAGAGTTGTATGTAATAGGTTGTCCTTAGCAAGTGGAAATACGACCATAAGATTGTCTGTCTAGAACGAACATAGGTCATTAATCCCTGTTTCTTCAAGGTTGTGGCCAATAAGCAGTACGTTTTTACTGCTTAGTTGATTAGTGGATTTCAGATACATAGTGTTGGATACAGGATTTAGGTAGAAAGAAACAGGTGACTTATATTTATAGATGAAGAAAAGGTAGGAGATTGATTGTTATAATCTTGTTTTCAAGATGTACCTCTTTTTTCTTATTCCAAATCATCAAATGACATCCTTTGTTTATATATTCATGTCATATTAGAAAAACATTTGCTGAATGAACTGGGCTGGGCTTTCATGGTGGGTTTTTAAAGGGTTTTTGAAGTGGATTGGATCAGGTGTCTCTACGGGTTCTCCTTTCTAGGCCCTAGCAGAGGTTTGTGCCATTCATGTAATGTGAAAGGATGAGGGACAATATGTGGCTGCTAATTCAACTGGTGACGTGGCAACATGGACTTGGTCTATTTGGTCTACAGAGAAGTTTCAGTGTACAAGTCTACAAGTCTACAGGCGATCAAGATTTGTGATAAGGCGGTTTAGGAATATTAACTACAGGATAAGCTAGTTAATAGTTTAGTGGTTCTTATCCGAGAGGATTCTTGTAGAGAGAGAGAGACTTTGTGTAAAGAGACTAGAGAGAGATTTCTTGAAGGTGTAACACTTGAGAGATTGATTGTTGTTAATAAAATTCCAGTTGAGGTTTTCCAGAATTCGTTTTCTTTATTCTTATGTACAGATTGTTTAATTTGTTCTTCTCGTTCTGGTTTTTTGAAATTCAGTTCCTGGTCAAAATCCGCACAATTTGGTATCAGAGCTCGTGGTGGAGATTCGGAATAGGACTATCAAAGTTTGAGATCGAGAAGTTCACAGGCAAAAACGATTTTGCCCTATGGAGATTGAAGATTAGGGCATTACTGGTTCAACAAGGTCTGGAGGTAGCTCTCAGTGGGGAAAAGAATCTACCGACGACGTTATCGGAGAAGGAGAAGAAGGATCTCCTCGACAAAGCCCATAGTGTCTTGATTCTTAGTCTCGGTGACAAAGTTCTCTGAGAAGTCTCAAAAGAAAAATCAGCAGCAGCAGTGTGGCTCAAGTTAGAATACCTGTTTATGACCAAATCTTTGGCCAATAGGTTGTTTCTTAAGCAGAGGCTATATACATTCAAGATGGCTCCCGGGAAGTCCTTGGAAGATCACCTGGATGATTTTAACAAGATAATCTTGGATCTTGAGAATATCGAGATCAAGATTGAAGATGAAGATCAAGCCTTGCTCCTGTCAAGATGGCTCTCAGATACTCTGATCTTTGGACGTGATTCACTTTCTCTAGAGGATGTTCAATCAACTTTATTTTCAAAAGAATTGAGAAAGAAAACCGAGGGAAAAGAAGAAAATGCAGCTGAGGGTCTAAATGTTCGAGGAAGGCTAGAAAAACAAGATTTCAAGAACAAAAATAGGCCAAGATCGAAGTCCAAGCATAGGAGAAAGTGTTTTGTATGTCACAAAGAATGTCATCTCAAGAAGGATTGCCCAGATCGAAAGAAGCAGGGTAGTGAAAAACATAAGGACTCTGGGGATGCAGATGTAGTCTCGGATGGCTATGAGAGTTCTGAGTTGCTGTTTGTTTTAGATGAAAACACAACCTGGAATGGGTTACGGACTCGGGGTGCTCATTTCACATGTGCCCTTATAAGTCTTGGTTCCAGAATTACAGGGTGAGCAATAGTGGACAAGTATTGCTTGGAAACAACAAAGCCTGTAGAGTTCTGGGTATAGGAGACATAAGACTGAGACTGGCATATGGGGTTGAGAAAGTCTTAACCGGTGTGAGACATGTTCCAGAGTTAAAGAGAAACTTGATCTCTCTGGGCATGCTGGATTCACAAGGTTATTGTATCAAGGCTGAAGGAGGGGTCTTGAAGGTCATAAAGGGATCGATAATGGTCATGAAAGGATTCCTTGGTAATGGCCTATACCAGTTGTGGGAACTGAGTATTCAAAAACTCAGCTCTGGCATCAGAGTCTGGACTCTTATCAGTGAAAAAGGCTTAAAGGAGCTAGAAAAACAGGGCCTTCTAGGGGAAAACAAGCTTCAAGATTTGCCCTTTTGTGAACACTGTATATATGGGAAGGCAAGCAGGGTCAAGTTCTCAAGAGGAGTGCATCACACAAAGGCAATTATGGATTATGTTCAGTCAGACCTTTGGGGAGCATCAAGAGTTCCATCACACTCCGGAGCTAGGTATTTTCTGTCTATAATTGATGACTATTCCAGCAAAATGTGGATTTATATCCTAAAGAATAAAAATGATGCTTTAGAAAAGTTTAAGGAATGGAAAACTTTAGTAGAGAATCAAACCAACAGAAAGCTTAAAACATTGAGAACAGACAATGGCTTGGAGTATTATGGGAATGAGTTCACTCAGTTCTGTAAAGATCAAGGAGTGGCAAGGCATCACACTATTAGAAAAACTCCTCAACAGAACGGTCTTGTAGAGAGAATGAACAAGACGATTCTAGAGAAGGTTAGGTGCTTACTCTCAAATGCCAACCTTTTAAAGGTTTTCTGGGCAGATGCTGTAATGACTGCAGCTTATTTGATTAACAGAAGTCCCTCAGTAGCCATTGACCTTAAAACGCCAAAAGAAAAGTGGTCTGGCCATCCTCCAAATTTAGAGAACTTAAGGGTTTTCGGATGTATAGTTTTTGCTCACATGAATCAGGGGAAGTTAAAGCCTAGAGTACTAAGGTGTATGTTTATGGGATATCCAGAAGGTGTAAAAGGCTACAGACTTTGGTGTGTGCAAAATGGGCATCCAAAAGTGTTTAACAGCAGAGATGTCATCTTTAGAGAAACATAAATGTATTACTCTAAGTCAGACAAGACTGAAGCTGAACCAGGAAAGGATGATCACAGTCGGGAGTCAGAGAAATTACAACTCGAGGTGGAGGATTAGCTCAATCTTGGTGGAGATCAAGCAGGAGCTGAAGATGAATTAGCATCAGGAAATTCTGACCAGCCTAAAGTTGAAGACTTGACAAGGTTAAGAAGCTCAGGTCATATGCAGGATTACTCACTGGCTCGGGATAGACAAAGAAGACATGTAAGGCCACCTGAAAGATTTGGCTATGTAGAATTAATAGCTTTTGCCCTGACAGCAACATCCGAAGTTGAAGATCTTGAGCCGAGATCCTTTCAAGAGGCAATAAAGGGTAAACATTGTAACCAGTGGAAGACTGCAATGGAAGACGAGCTAAAGTCCTTACATAAGAATCAAACTTGGAAGCTGGTGCAGTGGCCTCCAAAACAAAAGCTAGTTGGAAGTAAATGGGTTTTCAAGTTCAAGGAAGGAATTCCTGGTGTGGAGAAATCTCGGTTCAAGACAAGACTGGTCACCAAAGGATTCTCCCAAAGAGAAGGAATAGACTACAACGAGGTATTTTCACCGGTTGTGAAATACAGTTCAATAAGAATTCTCTAGTCACTGGTTGCAAAAGGAGATTTAGAGTTGGAACAGCTAGATGTAAAGACAGCCTTCCTACATGGTGAACTTGAAGAGAACATTTACATGGCGCAACCGGAAGGGTTCTTGGAAAAAGGTAAAGAGGATTTGGTTTGTCTATTGAAGAAGTCCCTTGTATGGACTGAAACAGTCCCCAAGGCAATGGTATAAGTGTTTTGATTCTTTTATGATTCAAAACAGCTTCAATAGATGTGAGTTTGATAGCTGTGTGTACAGTAAGCCTGGATTAGGTGGAGATATGATATATCTTCTCCTATATGTTGATGATATGCTTTTAGCATGTAAAAACAAGTTCGAGCTTGATAGAGTGAAGCAGCAACTGAAGGAAAAATTTTGAAATGAAGGACATAGGCCCTGCCAAAAGAATTCTCGGCATGGGCATTGTCAGAGCACAAAGGAGTTTTATTTGTTTCTCATAAAGGATATGTAAAGAAAGTGCTTAAAAGGTTCAAAATGTATGATTGCAAATAAGTTTTAACACCTATGGGCCAGCATTTCAAGCTTTCACAGGAGGACTCTCCATCAGGTGAAGATGAAGTTGCTTATATGGAAAGGATACCTTATGCCAGTGCAGTAGGGAGCTTGATGTATGCAATGGTCTGTACCAGACCGGACCTAGCATATGTAGTAAGTGTGGTTAGCAGGTATATGGCTAATCCAGGAAAGGCTCACTGGGAGGCTGTGAAGTGGATATTCAGGTATCTTAAAGGATCGACAGGGGTTGGATTACTGTACAGAAAACATAGCAGTGACTTGGAAGCTATTATTGGCTTTGTGGATTCAGACTATGCAGGCTGTGTTGATAATAGAAGATCTCTTACAGGATATGTGTTTAAGGTTTGTGGTAATGTTGTTAGTTTGAAGGCTAACTTGCAGCAAGTTGTTTCACTTTCAACAACTGAAGTTGAATTTATGGCTTTGACAAAAGCTATAAAGGAGGCAAAATGGTTAAAAGGAATTGCAGTAAGGTTAGGAGTCAAACAGGTTGTTGCCAAAGTGTATTGTGATAGCCAAAGTGCAATACATTTGGCTAAAAATCAGGTGTACCATGAAAGAAGCAAGCACATAGACTGAGGCTCTATTTTATCAGAGAAGTCATAGCCAAGAAGGAGATTATTCTGGAGAAGGTTTCTACAGATGAAATTCCAGCTGACATGATAACTAAAGCATTATTGTCACCGAAGTTCAAACATTGTTTGGATTTGCTGGAAATGAATGTTGTCAGTGTCAACATGGTCTGAAGGTGTGCAAAGGTTCTGGAAATTGGAGCCAGGTGGAGAATTGTTGGGATGATGTGGCTGCTAATTCAACTGGTGACGTAGCAACATGGACTTGGTCTATTTGGTCTGCAGAGAAGTTTCAGTGTACAATTCTACAGGTGATCAAGATTAGTGATAAGGCGGTTTAGGAATATTAACTACATGATAAGCTAGTTAATAGTTCAGTGGTTCTTATCCGAGTGGATTCTTGTAGAGAGAGAGAGAGAGACTTTGTGTAAAGAGACTGGAGAGAGATTTCTTGAACGTATTACACTTGAGAGATTGATTGTTGTTAATAAAATTCCAGTTGAGGTTTTTCAGAATTCGTTTTCTTCATTCTTATGTACATCTTATTTGATTTGTTCTTCTCGTTCTGGTTTTCTGAGATTCAGTTCATGGTCAAAATCCTCACAGTTATGTTATTATCTGTATTGCAGCCTATGAATTCCTTTGTTTAAAAAAAATA